GGCCTCCCGCCTCGCACACCTGCCCACGGGCTGCTGGCTGGGAGCGGAGCGGCAGCTCAGAGCCCCAGGCTTCATGTGGGCAGGGGAGCTTCTAGGCAGCAGACTTCTTGCAGGCTTACGTTTCAGGCAGGCCAGGCAGGAGATGGAACGGGCAGCAGAGATTCATCAGGTTTGTTCTGGACTCTGCGAAGCCCCCTGCCAGCCGCAGCATCGCCACAGAGGGGCACCGAGCCTGCTCTCGGCCGCGCTTCCAGAAGGGGTCGGGAGCGTGGCGCCAGCGCCGTGGTCCAGCTCGTGATACAGCGGTCTCCGCCTGGCTTATTGGCTTTGGCTTCCTCTGGACAGCCTCCAGGGCTCATAGTGCTCCTCACCTTTGGAGCAAAGTTAACCACCTCCCCTTTGAGGGTGTCGGGGGTCCCCACGGCCCGGGGAGGATGAGGTGGGTCTGTGCGCAGACAGCTTTGCTTAGAGCCATGCCCGGCGCCGCATCAGGGCTCGGCACACAGGACACGTGTCCTCGCGTGGTCAGCCCTTCTGAAGGGAAAGGCCCCCAGGGAGCCACCTCAGGCCTCCCGCTCCCCACGTGGGCTGAGCCCAGACAGGGAGCAGTGCAGGAGTTGCAAGCCATGTCACAGAGCCTGGGGGCGGGCTCTGCCTGCGCGGGGACCCCCCACGCTGTTGGCAACTCCGCCATTGGGATGTAGGCGTTCTGTCCCTTTGCCTCGCCTTCTGAGGTCCCCGAAAGCCGCCCGTGGGGTCCCAAAGGCCCTCACCAGCCCTCCAGAGAGCAATTTCAGGGTCTGGTGTGGGGAGGCCTCTGGCCGGAGTGGCTCAGTGCCTTGAGCAAGATGGGCAGCTTGTATGTACATGGCCAATGGGCAGCCCTCCCAAGGGGCCCTGTTCTCGTGAAAAAGGAGTGTTGCCTCAGTCCCTCACAGCTGCCCATCCGCCAAGAGAGGCAGAGAGCGCTCATCACAGCACGTGGCCAAGGGCCTGAGGAGGGGCAGCCCCAGCGGGAGGGTTGCTGGCCACCTGAGCAGTGAGCCTGCCTGGCTGCCCCGAGTGCACCTGCCACGGTCCCTTCTTGACATGCGTCTCTCATGAATCTTACCTTGTTTGTCTAGTTTGTAGGCTTAGATCTGTGACAAGGAGGCAGGTCAGAACCCACCCCGCCCCATCTGCTCCCCTGTGGCCTCCTGCCATCTCCACCCAGCGCCTCACGGGATGGCTATCTGAATGCAGCCAGGGTCCCGAAGCCCGTTCACACTGACCGCCAGCTTGTCCACTGCACCTTCTTTCCCTTTTGGGGCCCGGGGACTTCTTCCCCCCATCACCTCTGCCTTCCAAAGGGGCAGCCAAGCCAGGCTGAGTGGCCTGGCCATCACTCTCTGCCCCTTCCTGACCTGCACTTCTCACTGTCCTGGCCCTGCACCCACACCCCTGCAGCCCGCCCACCCCACCTCTTCCTCTGTCAGCTCCTCTTTCCTGTAGAGCCAAGCCTCAGGGCCCAGAGAAGGAACAGAGTCCAGGTGGAGGGCAGGACCCGCTCTCCAGGTTCTGCCTGCCCACCTTGGACAAGGCAGCCCCAGACGAGGGTAGAGCCGGCCCCTCTTCAAGGCCGGTACTCACAGAGTATTTCCCCTAAATTCCCTTCCTTAGGGCCCCAGGGTGCTCCCTGCTGCCCACTTCTTGAGACCCGGGGCAGAACCACCCTGAGAGGCACCAGCAGACAGGCCTGGGTGAGCTCAGAACCAGGGAGGGGTACCCCTGAAAATGATATTAGGAAGGAGTGACTAAGGGTTGGTGTTGGGTTATTAACCTCAGGGAGGAGGGGGCAGAGCAGTGATGCTGGTGTGTTTAACAAGGGGATTGTTCTGTAGTCAGTGCCCCCAGCCCGAGGGGCCCTGAAGGATCGGGGGTTCGCTGTTCACTCCCCTCCACCCTGCTGAGTACAGTCATGCCCAGGAATGTCCACCCAGAGCCTCTGCACCAAGGGCAGACAGCAGCTCCCTGCAGGGTCACTCCAGGCAAGCTCGGGGCTCTGGGAAGTACCTGGCAGCTTCTGGAGACTCGGGGCATATGGGCTTTTAGGGGGTGAGGCCACTCCATATCCAGTGGATGCTGAAGGCTTGGGCTCCATTCCACCATGGTGGGAAGCCTTGGAAGGTTCTGGGGAGTTTGACATAATCTAATTCATAACCATTAACCAAAAAGTGGTTTGGGAGATGCCTGGATGGCTCCGTCGGTTAAGCGTCCGACTCTTGATCTCAGCTCAGATCTTGATCTCGGGGTCGTGAGTTCAAGCCCCATGCTGGGCTCCACACTGGGCATGGAGCCTACTTAAGGGGAAAGAAAATGGGGGTTGGGATGAGGGGCAAGGCAAGGTGAGGGTATAATTCATCTCATTTGAGAAGGGCTGGACCCAGGGGCATGAGGGGCTCCCGTGGAAGCAGGAGAGAGGCTTCAGTGGAAGCAATGCCCGTCAGCACACAGGATGGAAGGAGGGGAGACAGAAGGGCTGGCTGCACCAGCCGAGGCTGCAGTGAGCCTGGGGAGGCCTTGTCCCTCGTGCCCAAGACCACAGCAGGGACCTGAGAGTTGAGCTGCCCCTGCAGCTCCAGGGAAGGCTCTGGAGAGTTGGGGCCGGCGTGGGCTCCGTGTCCCCAACAGCTTTCAGAGGCCCAGGCAACATGTGCTTAGGGCCCCCTGACAGCCAGGGGCAGCCTGACCTGCTCCCCAGAGCAGGCAGCCTCCCCAAGTCAGAAGGGGCTGAGCAGTAGCGCCAAGCCACCAGGAAGCTGGGCCCACTCCCAGAGCCCTGGGAGACCCTGAGACAGACAGCGGGTTCCTGCTTTCAGGTTCATAGCTGCGAGGCCTTGGGCACGGCGGAGCTGGACCAGCAACATGCAGGAGGCAAGTCCTGTGCACAAATGATTTTCCTGAAACCTAATCAGAACGCAGTGCACAAAGAGCCCAGGCTGGGCTCTGCAGAGCGGGCCAGGCGGGGGCCAGGAAGGGCAGAGTGGTGGAGGGTGTACCACTGCTACAAACCAGCCGCTGGTCTGAGCGAGGAGGGCGCATCTCAGGTGAGCCAGGGAAAACACACATCAGGGTCACAGGGTGCGTGCGGTGGGCGGGGGGGAAGCAGGCCTGACCCGTCCAGCTTCATGCCTGAGCCAGGACTGCCCCTGCCCTGGGGCAGTTGGCTACCTCCTCAGGGACGGCTCTGCCGGAGCCAGAAACCCCCGAGACCCCACAGCTGGCTTCCTTCAGAGGCCCTGCTCCCACTGCAAGCCTTACGGGGAGCATGGCCCCCCAAGCACAGGGCCTCAGGGCCTAGGCTCTTCCTCCTTCCCGAGCCTCACTTTCTCCCCCACCCCCACCCCGGCAGCAGCGGATTGCGAGGGTGGACTCAGGCCAGGCCCACAGAATCCCTAAGAGGGCCAGTCCCTCACGTTGTGGAGTCAAGGTCCCAACCCTGCCCCTCCCCACTGGCCGCTGCCTTCCAGAAGGAAACCACGCAAGCAGAGGATGGGCCTAGATATCATTAGCTATCAGGATGGGGCTGACGGGAAGTCAGGGCCTGAGGGTCTGCTTCCAGAGACACAGGGCCGGAGAGCATGTGTGGAGGAGGAATTGGTCTGCGGCTAGAGAACCAAAGGCACGGGCCTTTCCTTCATGAGGGAGATGCAGCCGTGGCCTCGGGAAGCAGAGAGGAACAGGGACATCCAGGGACCAACCTCTCCCCGCTCCAGGATCCTGGTGCTTGGAGCCTAGGCAATAGGAGGAGAGCAGGGCTGGGCGCCAGGACTGGGTCCAAGGGCACAGGAGGGGGGCCTAAGGCTGTGTGACCCCAAGGAGGCTGCAGGGAGTGGAGCAGTTCTAGGTACTCGAGGACAGAAGATGCCCAAGGTGAAGCCAGGGACCCGGGTGCACATGGCCGACCTCCAGCTCCACAGTGTGCACCACCTGTGTGTGCTTTCCAAAGCACAGGGCTTTTCCTGTCCCTTCGGCCTGTCCTCAGGCCTCGCCCGGGTGGGTCCCCGCCATGCGGTGTCCCCCACCTGTGCTGCACGCCACCCTGTACTGGTCAGGCCCCAGGTGGTCAGCTCCAAGACGCCGGGCACATGGTGTGCGTGTCACCCGTGTGTCTCGTGTGTGAGATGCTGGTGCCAGGCCCCACCTTGCCCTGTCTGTACTCTCTGGGGCAGCATTCCCATCCAGTGTGGACCCTCCTGGGGCTCCAGAGACCCCGGCCCTACCTGCTGGGCCAACCCCCAAGGGAGAGCCACTCTGACCTTGCATCTGACAGCTGCTTCCGAATAACATCTTTTTTGTTTTGTTTTTTACAAAAGAAATACACTCCTAGTTCTAAAAACTTGGCAACTAGAGAAAAGCTTGGAAAATGAAAGTTTCCTCCCACACCCTAGTTCAAAAACACCGTGGTGGCTGCTTTGGAAGGGGTGTCCCTGAGTGTCGGCCCACGCGTACGGCATGTGGCCCAGGCTCCTGGGTCCTTGGCCTGTGCCTGGACACACATGTCAGGGCTGCTGGGCAGCTGGGGGTGCTGGTGAGTACGGCCAGCAGACAGAGGGTGCTTGACAGCTGGGGAAGGGCCTGAGGCGTGCTGTGGGTCAACCATTAACCTGGGCGCCCCCAGGGGCCCCATTACAAAATGGTCCCGGCAGGAAATGACGTTTTCAGGGCCAAATGTCCAGAGGGCCCAGTGGAGGGGCAGGCGCAGGCCCTGCAGTGCATCTGGAGTGCATGTGTCCCAGAGGCCTCCTGTGCCGGGACCCCAAGCCACAACTGCGGCCCTTGAGCACCTCCCCCAGGGAGGACCTCTGGCCTGCTAGGCTCTGGAACAAGAGCCAGGGCATGGGGTTTCTGGGTCCTGCAGGCCAGAGGCACAGCCGCTTGGCTTATAGTCGGGGAGCCTAGGCTTCCCGCCCCTTCCTGCCCTTCATGCAGTGACAGGCCCTTCTCTTGCTGTTCTTCAGTAGAGCTCACGGCACGTCCAGCAGCCAACAGCCTCGGACACCTGGACAGGAGCCCCGTGGGGACACGGGCAGCCTTTGCCATTGAAGGGAAGAAGATGGAAGCGCAGGCAAAGACCAAGCCCACCAGACCCTCCAGGGCTCACCCTGCAAAAACTAAAGGCTGCCAGTGGCCCCCCAAGATCCGTAACTACAATTTGAAGGACTGACTTCTTGAGCCTTCCTTCTCCCACGCCCTTGCCCTTCCCTTCCCCTCCCATGTTGGTGCTTGGGGCCTGCACTTTCACCATGCATCAGGGGTGTGTGTGTGCAGGCACCCACATGTGCACGAGGAGAGTGCGAGTGCATGTGTGCACACACAGCTGCAGAGTGGCTTCCCCAGGCTCTGACCGACCCAGAGCCATTAAAGCCCCTGCCTCCGGTGCTCTCGCTGGGCCCTGGAGTTGCTGACCTGTCCTACAGTGCCCCAGTGACATGGGGAAGGAAGCCAGGAGGGCCCCCAGGGGCGGGAGTCAGCGCAGCCTGATAAGGGTGTGGGGGCATGGGGAGCAGAATACCCACCCACAAAGTAGGCATTTCCCCACAGAGTGCTGCACGTGGGAGGGGACCTCCTGGAAGAAGGGAGAACTGGGGTTCTGGGTGAACCAGCAGCCAGACCAGACGCGGCTTCCCCGGGCTCCGCCACACCTGCTCCCCTGCTCATGTCAGGGAGTTGATGGGGTGGGGGTGACACTTCCAGTGCTCATTGGCCCTGTGAGACCAACCCAGCAGGTCAGTCTGGAGCCTTCCACGTCCGCACCCCCCCCCGCCCCCACTGCGTAGGACAGTAGTGAGGCATCCCTGACAGCTAGATGCCTGGGGCCCAGCACCTGATACCCTTGCTCCAAGTACCACAAAACCACACCCACACTTCCCCACCCGAAAAACATCTCATAAATCCTAACCACACATCCTTGACACTTGTGGATTTGCTCTACAGTGAACTTCACGCTCAAGATCACAATTTCCTGTCTCAGGAGGGTCAACATGGGAGAGGCCAGGGCGTGCGCTACGCTCCTCTCCCAGAGCCCCCAGCCTGTTGCTCCCCCAGGGTCCACACCTGGTTGGCAGAGCGAGAGCACTCCTTGCCCACAACAGTGCTCAGAAATGGAGACAGCCTGTCCCCACTCTAGGCAGAGCACGGTTGTGCCCTCAGGCAGCCTGGGCCCTCCCCACTGAGGCTTTCCCTTTCTGGACAGCTGGCTCTCCCGGAACCAGGCAGACCGCTTCTCCGGGAGGATGGGAGAGTGCTGGGGGAAGGCTGATCTACACACATCATGCAGCCTTCATGGCTTCTGTTGGCCCTCAAGTAAAATGTGCACAATGTCCTCTCCCTACCTGGCTCACAGGTGAGGGGCACGTGAGGATGCTCATCACGGGGAGAGACTACAAACAGTAGTGGTGGTGTTGCTGGTCATGCATGTGCCTGATGCAGGGCCAAGAGATCACAGAACAGGCCCCAGTGATTTGCAATGGTTCCTGTCCCATCCTGTGCACCCTTGAGCTCCATGTGACAGCACACGGGCCTGAGGGACATCCTTGCCACAGGCTAAGTACGCAGCCTGGGGACGCTGTGCTTCCAGGAGCTGCAGAGGCAACGGTGGGCCATTCCCGCTGTGCCAGGAAGCAGCAACCTGGAGGCAGCTTTGCCAAGGGGTGGCAGGGGTCCCAGTGCTCGGCTGTTTCTGATGTGTGCCCTTAGAAGTGAAGCATGGCTCTGTGACTCCCTTAAGCTGAAAACCTGAGCAGAGATGCCTTGTCACTTTCCAGGGGCACTTCAGAGCCCATGAGCGAGTCTCTGAGCCCTCCCTCTAGGGCGCAAACCCAGGCCCTCCATCGAGGTTGGCCCAGCCTGGGATCAGCCTCCATCACCTGGGCCCCTGGCAGGCTGCAGTGAGCAGAGCCCCACTGACCAGCAAGAAATGAGCCTGGGATAATTTAAGTCACCAAAAGTTGGGAGTGTTACGCAGCATGGTCCAGTGACTCCTGGCCCGGGGTTCAAGGTATCTGAAAAATTCTTAAATTGGAAGAGAAAGAAAAACCCATGGGAAGGTTGTTCAGGACATTAATTCAGCTGGTGGACCTTAGGGCACTCTCCCATCTCTTCCTGGTCTGCCCTTTCTCCTGCTATCAGGAGTTAGAAGCCCCCAGTGACAGGATGCCAAGGGAAAGATGGGAGCATGGAGTGGCCACTGGGACCTAACGGGGCTGGTGAGCACTGTGGGGCAGGAGCGTGTGGCCAAGTGAAGCTGTGGCGGCCAGTCCCGTTCTGTGCTGTCCCTGAGCGTCCCTGGCCAGTGTCCTGCTCCACACAGTCCCTGAGCTCGTGAAAGCAAAGCCGGAGGGGTTGCCATGGAGCGCAGTGAGGAGTGCAGCGTTTGATTTCAAGACAATGAGGCGGTGGAGAGGAAGCAGGGCACTGGCCGTCCTGGGGACCAACAGGGGCTCCGCTGGCCTCACAAAGGATCTGCTTGGAGGCCCATAAGGCGGCCTGGGTCCTGCAGGGCATGGCCGCTAGGGAGAGAGGGCGGCCTTCCTGGACTCCCAGCTGACCCCTAGACGGGTGGTCTGTTTCCTTTTGGTCTGGAAGCCGAAGTCTTTTTGTAAGTTCGGTAACCACGTGAGCAGGGGAATGCACGGAGACTCACGGCTGGAGCTTCAGCCGGGGCGTGTGCGCGCCCGTGGGTGCAAGTGGCCACGTGCGCGCGCGAGTGCCTCTGCCCAGGGGGGGCGCCTTTGTTCGAACCACGCCAAGTGGTGTCCGTGCCTCGCCCCACCCGCGGGCTCCGGGAGCCGTGGAGCACGCGCGCGGGTCCGTAAGATTGGGGAGGCCGCGCTGCGGTGACCGGCAGTGACCCCGCCCGGGGCGCCCTCGGCAGGGGTCAACGACCGCCGAGCCGTCCAGCCCATCACCCTATCGCCTAGCAACGCCCACTCGCGCGCCGCCATTGGGCCGGTGCGCACGCCTCCGGTCCCCGATTGGCCACGGCGGCGGAGCGAGCCCCGCCCCCTAACCCCCTCCACCCCGGCCCGGCTCCGCGCCGCCGGAACGCGGGCCAGTCGGTCGGTGTTCCCGGGGGTCCGGTCGGTCTCCGGCGTGCCCCCAGAGTGGTCCCAGAGTGGCGCCCAAGCATATTCCCGTCCAGCTTCACCCGCGCGGCGCGCACACGTGGCCCCGCGGCCCGAGGGGGTGGGGGGGTGGCCCCGGGAGGGGGCGGGGGCCCGCCGGGGACTCAGTCCCCGGCGCGTGCGCGTGCGCCTCCGGCGGTTCCGCGCCACGGACCCGCGGAGGCGGGGCACAGAAGCCGGGGGCGGGGGTGCTGAGGCGCCCCTCCCGGCGCCCCCGGAGTGCTGGGTTCCCCAGCCCTGCGCGCCCCCGCGCGGGGTCCCGGCGGCTCGGCGGCGCGCAGCATCACCCCACCGGCGGCGGCGCGCCGGGTCCCGGGGCGCAGCCCCGACGCTCATTGGCCTGGGCGGCGCAGCCAAGCTGTCAGCCCATGTGGCGTGTCCGCGCGGGGACGGCCGCGGTTAAATAGAGTCGGCGCCGGCCTAGAGGGAGCCAGAGAGACGGCAGCGGCCCGGCCTCCCCTCCGCCACCGCGCTCCATCCTCGCTCCCCGCCGCCCGCTCCGCCGCCCGCGCCCAGACCAGGTACGAGCGGCCCGGCGGGGACCGGATACCTGGGGGCCCTGGGGGGCGCGGCCCGGCTCCGGGCGCCGCCGGTCCGCACCCTCCGGTCTCGGGGCGCTCCCGCGGGGAGGGATCGGCCCGTCGGGCCGCGGGCTCCGAGGCCCCCGGTCTGGGTGTGCGGGGCGGCGGGGTCCCTGCGCTGGAGGGCCGGCGGCGCTGCGCCCGGGGCCCGGCAGGGCAGGTGTGCGATGGCGAGGGGCGGACGCCGGGCACGCCGCGAACAGCCATTTTGGTCGCGAGCTGGGCCACGCGGGCCGCACCGCCCAGCCCCTCCGCCCGCGGCATCCCCCAGGCCCGGTGGCGGAGGGCCGCGGCCGGGCGGCGAGGGTGGTGTTGGGCGGGGGGGGGGCGAGACCGGCTCCCGTCACGTGGGCGCCGCGCGGAGCCCCGAAGCTCTGGAGGGCGGGCGGCGGGGCGAGGCCGGCGCCGCGGGGTCTCCAGCCCCTGCCCGGGCCGCGCCGGACTCGGCGTGAATAGCAAGTAGGGGAGAACAGCGGGCGCTCTCTGGAGGCAGCAAACGCCCCCGAGCTGATGCCTCTTGGGCCTCCAAAGGGCTCTTTATTCAGCGCTGGGGGTGGGGGCTCCCTCCCGGCAAGGGCTCAGGCACGCGAGGGAAACGCTGCTCTGTGCTCGCGCGCCCTTGCTCGGAGAGACCGGGAGACCCGGGACGGCCAGAGGATGGCGTGTCCACCGGTCCTTAGTGCCACGAGACCATGGGGCCTTGGCGGAAGTTGCCAGACCAACCCTGGCCTTGCCCCCTCGGGGCTACCCAAGAGCGCCCTTCCTCAGTGTGGCCCGGGCTTTCTCTGCAGGGGGGCCTCGGGGGACCTGGGTCTGGGTGGTCAAACAGCCTGTGCGGAGGTAGGCAGGTAGTGTCCTGAGGACTCACCTGTACAGGTGTGCAGGTGTGGGCAGCACTTGCCTGGCCCCTAACCAAGTGGTTCTCCAGGTTGGACCCTGCTTGGGTGGTCAGACTGGCTGGATGGATCCATGGCGGGGTAGGGGCCATCTTTTCGAGCCCTGCGGGGACCCCTCCCCCCATGTCCCTTCCAAGCCCTGGCAGTTCATGGGCTGCCCTGAGTGTGCCTGGGCCCCTGTCCCCAGCATGGAGAACAAGCTGGGATGCAGGGTGCAGGGCCCACTGGTCAGTGTGGGCAGGTGTTCCCCCCACTCTCATATGTTTTTCCTCAAATTTTGACACCCTTTCTTTTTTGCTTGCTTGATTCCCTGGGTCAGCTCTTAACACACTGATGGCCGGGTGGCCCTGTCCCAGGAAGGGTTCAGCTCTTCTGGGATGGCCCTGCCTGCTACCTCTCCCAGGACCCCAGCAGCAGGTTGCACAGCCCACCGACTGTTGGGGGGCAGACACAGGGTAGCAGGGCCATGGTGTAGTCACCACATGTGACAGGTCAGTGCCAAAGGCCAGAGGGCCCGATCCTCCCAATGACAAGTAAGGGCTGGCTGGACCAGCATGGACCCCC